TTTGTATTTTATTTAGAGACAGTTGAGTTGTTTAGCGCCTTACTTTGCTGAGGCTGGTTTTGAACTCATGATTCCCCCATCTCAGCCTCCTGAGCTGCTGGGATTACAAGCATGCACCACCATGCCTGGCTCCCATCTTCTTATACAACTATTGATTTAGCACATTCCTATCCCTCTCCAGACCCAATCCACAACCATCTAGCACTCTGCACATCCTCAGATCAGGAAGATGCCCAGTGATGCAAGTAGTGGGGAAAATTTAGGTGGATGTCACATTGGCTGCCTTTCAAGCACTCAGATACTGTAGGGCTAGGGAAGAGGAGATGCTTCCTTAACAGGTAATCTTGTTTCTGTGCCGTCAGCAGGGCTTTGGTATCAGACAACCAGCTGTCTGTGATGGAAGTCATCAGAGGTGGCTTCCGGGCGAGATGCCACCCAACACAGGTCATAAAGTACAAAGAGGGGTTGGATAGGGATGGTGGGAAGGGCATCCTTCATGAGAGGGCATCATTGAAAGCCACAAGAAAATTGCAAATTGTGCTGGTAAATGGATGGAACTGGAGAGGATCATGCTAAGTGAAATAAGCCATCCCAAAAAACCAACGGCCAAATGTTCTCTCTGATATGCAGATGCTGGTGAGGGGGTGGTGGATTGGGACGGGGGGATTGGGGGAAGATGGGGGGGTGGAATGGGAAAGATAATAGAGTGAATGGGGCATGACTTACCTATGTTCATACATGAACACAGGACCAGTATAGCTCCACATCAAGTACAACCACAAGAATGGGATCCTAATTAGAATAAGTTATACTCTGCGTATGTATAAGATGTCAAGATGCATTCTACTGTCATGTATATTTAAAAAGAACAAATAAAAAAAACCAGAATGACACTAGATATTTACTTGAAAACTCAATTTCACATTGTAATCTCCATGTTCATTTTATCAGACTCAATATTCTTCTCTGTTTCTTTCTTTCCCTCAATACTGCCCAGAAGGGATCAAAAAGGTGTCTCTTTCCTTAAATTCTCATTATGTGATGCCCAATATTGTGTCCCATGGAGGCAATGATTACAATGAATTTTGATGAGCTTTCAAGTGTGAATACATAGTTCAATATCTTAAATGAAAGATGGTAAGAATTTCAAGTTTAATGTAAGAGCTATAAGAAGTTTAATTCATATTCAAAAATGGAAAAAAAAGGTTTTATGAGGGAGATGACCTTTGTGCTGATCTGTAAAATATGGTCAACATCCCTGTAAGAAGGATAAAAGTCAAGGGTAAAATCAACGCGTTGGTGAAGACTTAATGCATGATGAAGGGCAGAAACCTGGGCTACAGCTAGAGAGGTCAGTGTATGTGAGGACAGGGAGAGATAGCTGAAGGTCAGGAAGGTCATGGGCTTTTCCATCGGGGAAAGGCCCAGGGAGGAGTGTTTAGTTCATTTACTAGACAAGGGAAGGGCAGTGGAGTGTGAAATAATCAGAGATAGGTTGGGAAGATTACTCTGCAGTGTAAAAGGTCACTTAGGATAAGAGAGATTGGAGAGCCTCGGTTTCCATGCAGACTCCCACTATGCATGAGAATATTCTCTTCTAGGAGTCCCGACAGTCAGAGGAAGCCAAATCTATAAAGACAGACACGTCCCTGGAACACTGCCCATCTCCAGAGGGCTCTTTCCCCCTTCCAAATCTCCACTTTCTATTGTGGCTTTTCCTTCCTACAATATTCACATGTCTCTGGTATAACTGGGACCTCATAACATACAACTGGATGAAAAGGTGCCAGTAAACTATAGAAACAAGGGGAAAAAATGCAAATTGCAGACGTGTGCAGGGCCAAGTATTTACTGGAACATAAAGTGAGTCATCATCTGGAAGCCAGGAGAGCAGAGATAACGCTGGGGCTCAGGTCGTGGAGGTCAGGCCACAGGGCGTGGTAATGACTCTTCAGATAATGAGAAGCTATCACAGAGCTTCAAGCAGGGATTCACAGAGGTGTCACCAGGCTGAGAGGACATTCATCATTTTTGGATACTGGAGAGTGAAGGTTTCCTGGAAACTGTGTCTTAGAAAATTCCTTGGACCTAGATTTTCAAATGCTTCACGATGTTTTTAAAAGTTGAGCTTTTGAGTTAAAAATAGCATCCTAAATGCCTACATATGATCCATTTAAATCAAGTACACATCTTGCAATCAGTATGATCCCTAAAAGAAGGACCATTTTTCTTTTCCTGAGTATTATTGCAGTGAACTTGTGAAAAATTCACTGATACGTGTTTTCTACAATGTTTTAATTATTGCTATTGTTCATAAATGTAAACTTTGATGGAGTGCCAATTGTAAGAATTTTGAAGTTTTTAATATCTTTACTGTTTTATTTAGTTATTTATTTTGGGTGCTGGGATTGTTCCTGGGCCTTGTGCTAAGCATGTGATCCACCACCAACCTACATCCCCAGCCCCTCTGGGTTTTTTTTTATTTTGAATCTTTTTTTTTTTTTTTAAGCCAACCTAGGGCTGGGGATGTAGCTCGGGGGTACAGTGCCTCTCTGGCCCATGCAAGGTATCCTAGGTTCCATCCCAGGTATGGAGAGAGGGAGGGAAAGGAGGAAGAGAGAAAGATGGGAGGGAGGAAGGAAAAGAAAAGAATTCGTGAGAGAATAGGACAATTTTGCTTTTGCTTCTTGATGAGGGATCTCACTTGATCCCGAGAGTCTGGTGAGAAGACATGGCAGGCAATGGAGTCAGGCAGATACCAAGATGGCGGAGGACAGGAGAGAGGGGGAGAGGACAGAAGAACCTGTTTGGACACCTCATGTTCTTTGTTATAACATTGATGGGGTTCAGCATCTCAGCTGGCCGCTTCCCTCTCTCCAGCCTCTCTGAGAACATTAATTAAAGAACACTCACCATATCCACAGCTCAGAGAAGGAAGAGCCAGACCAAAGCCTGCTCTAGAGCAGGCAGAAAAGAAACTCATGAACGGAAGCCAGTAGGGGGTGGGGATGTCAATTCTGGAAAGGACACCTGTGACTCTGGTTAGCATAGTGGACCTGACAGGCCTCACACGCCCACTGTCTTCAACACGCACACACACGTACACACGTCACACACATGGACACACAGTCCCTGCTAGCCTTGTGTCAGCTCAAATGGCCATGCACAGCTTACTGCCACACCCTTCCTTATTTTTCCCAATCAACTTTTCTCCTCTCTGTGATTCTGCAGAGAATTTATTTAGGATATACAGGAAAGAACAAAGGATTGTTCTTCTTTTCCTGCTGCAAGAAAACCAACTAGAATTTCAGGTCAATCAAATCCAGGATCTGAACCCAGCTTAGCCTTGGATGAACTATGTGAACAGCATAAGCAAAATATTTCTATTTGGCCAGGCGTGGTAGCGCATGCCTGTAATCCTAGTGGCTCAGGAGGCTGAGACAGGAGGATGGGGAGTTCAAAACCAGCCTTGGCAATTTTGCAAGGCACTAGGCAACTCTGGAGACCCTGTCTATAAAGAAAATCCAAAATAGGGCTGAGGATGAGTCTCAGTGGTTGAGTGTGGGTTCAATTTCTGGTACTTTAAAAAAAAAAAATCCATCGAAGCCTCACTATCTGCAACTTCGAACAGCAATTAGAGGCAGAATATAACATCTGGCATGAACTATACCAACAAATACTGTATTGGATGCCATGTACAGGATGCATACATGTTTAAACTGGGTCTTTGTAAATACTGGTGTTAGAACTCACTGTGCTAGGATAAAGGGTCGGTCCCTCCCCCTCTACAAATCTTTGTGACCTGACAGGTTAGTATCTCTGAAAATAAACTCTCACAGGATAGCCTATCCCAACCTATATCCCAGTCACCTTGTCTGTCTACTTTCGGTCCCTTTCTGTGTCTATCTCTGTGGTTTAGGAATGTTGAGTTATCTCCGACCTAAAAGTGTCTTGCTGCTTTGAGTCTACTTTCAGATATGAAGGTAGCTACAAACACCATTCAGAGAGATAAAGCCAGCACACACTCCAGTTGTCATGAATGACAGGCAAAGGGTCACCCTCACACGGGACTGACGACTACAACCCTGCTGGCAAATATTTGGAACAAATTTACTGGGACATTCACAAAAAGAGGCACCGCAGGCCACAGGCTACCTGTGGGAAATGAGTTTTGAAAAGAAGCCCAGTTCTGAATCAAAGAGGGAGTCTGTATCTATCTTCTGCCTTCAGCTGCCCAGCATACCTTGGACCCCTTTTCTAAAAAAAAAAAAAAAAAAAATCCAAAAGGCTTCACAGTGTATAAAAGCATGAGGCTGCAAACTGGAATTCGTAATAGAAATCTGGGGTCTAAAAAAATGGAGAATGCTCCTTGGATCAACTCCAATTCAGCATTAACCACTCCTCCAGGCCATAGAATATCAACTAAATTTGTTGAACAGAGATGACTCAAGACCTGGGTTCTTTTCAGAGACATTTAAGCCAGAGTGATAATTTATGAATATCTAAAGAGGTTTCCAAGATTCTAAAAACAGCCCTCACCCACAACAGTTCCAAGAACTTGTGCATCAATGAAATGGATAACTGTGTCAATGACAGGGCATACCATGCCTCTGACGGAAATGTCACCTATTTTTGGAATGGTTCTTTAAAAATCAGTCTCATTATGTTGTAGCTGTGCTTGCCATGAAAAGTATTCATTCAAAATACTAAGCTCAAAGTCGCAGCTATGTCATACACAACCATACACAACCAAAGGAAGTTTTGCCAGAGTTACTGTAGGGATTTCTTAGATCATTGTATATCACATATTTATAAGACCACAGAGCCAGCACAAAACTGTCACCAAAAGCAACCCAATGAATCATTTCCTAAGTATATAAGGTTTTTTTTTTTTTTTTTACCCCCAAAGAATTTCAAATGAATCAGTTCTCTGAAGCAACCGAATGCTAGCAAACTCAGTCTATCCATAAAAAGACATGGGAATGGATATTGGCACCTACCTGGAATCCTATTGAGTGTCACCCAGTAATGTTCATCAGGGCTGTAAGTGTCTTTGGACCACTGGAGCAAATCAACAGCCCTGGGGTCATGGAGAACAAAGCTGACAAACTCCCTGGAAAGGGCCACATAAGCAGTGCCAAAGTAGATGGTCATTTGATGTGGAGGTGAGGTTTTCAAAATGTTAGTATTTTTTACAAAAGAACCTTTTTTGCTTATGTACTCTCGGTGGACATACTTGGTCCGACCCACAGCATGAGCGGGGGGCAGCACCCCTGGGGTAATGTTCTTCCCTTTAAATCCTTTCAGATACTGAATTATTTCCTTGTTGGTTTTCAGGGGGAAATCTTGCCCGCAGGTGTTGAGGACGTACTTCCAGGGGACCTCAGAGGCCTCCAGGTCTTTCAGGCAGTTGATATCCGCCAGGAGCCTGGAAATCCCACCATAGACCACGGGTTCCATCTTAGAAGCCAGAAAAGCGTTTGGGAAGCAGCTCAGTAACTGCCACACTGATTTTTTAAACTCATTTGAGGATTTTTCATCCACATGAATACAGTAGACATTTTGGGGCATATAGATGGCCCTGAAGAGCCTTTCGAAAGTATCAAAGTCCTTATGAATTACCATGACAAATGCCAAAGGGAACGCAGCTTCTTCTCCCGACAGGGGGCTTGTGATGTAGTGACTCTGGGTCACATAGTCGTTGCAAGGAAGTCTTCCCAAAGATGATGGCAGTGTCTTTTCCCGCAGAAAGGTGGCCTTCTTTTCTAAGGTGAGATTGCAGGCATCAATCCCAAAAGACCTTTTGCTGGAACCCTTTCGCCAATTTTTGGGTAGGCTTGCCTGGCTATTGTAAAATATCACCAAAGAAACCACACTGAGCCCGCTGATAGCCAAAAAGTAATGCCTCCAAAAGTTCATTATTTTCACTTCCCCAGGAAAGGAATCTCTCTTCAGAGATTGAGAAATTGATCCTCGTCCCCAAAACCACAAGTGTGACAGGCTGAAATGACTTCTCTTGCAATCTTGAATTTCGACAGCTTCCCCGGGAGGGCTGGCTTGCTTTCCTCGGGTCCTTTAATCCTCCTCTGTCGTTGGCTTCAGTGTCTTGTCCATCCTCTTTGGGGCTGGCTGAAGATTTGATGCCTTCCCAACCGGCTCTGGTCGGCAGGCAGCCCCGCGCAGTACCGAATCCCTGCTGCTCAGCCCAACCCAGCCCAGCCTCCGGGAAGCCTCCTCATTTGCATATGAAATGCAAGTGGTGGCTCTTAGCAAATTACATTCTGGAATGGAAAGACGGGTTTCTCTTGCATCACTCCCACTGCCTCCCCTACTTCTAGGCAGTCAATTCAGTTCTGATCTCCCTTCTAGAATAAGTGACTCTCTTCTTTTTTCTGGCGAGCCCCACAACCAGCTAGCAGCCCTTGGAAACCACAGCACTTAGCACATCTGCTCCTTGGGTTTTCTTTTTTTTTTTTTTTTCTCATTTCTCTGCTACCTCTTTTCATTTCAGGGTTATCTCTGCCTCTGGGCACACAAAGATAAGAAAGATACCCTTGTGACAAGTCTAAGGAGATTATCTGCAATGGGGGGAGGGGGACGTGGACAGTGAGGTTTGCTGGATTAAATCAGACACATTCTGATGTGTGACACAGCAAACGTATGCATGTGCAGACTATCAGCTGCGGAACTAACAATGACACCCATGGGGGCAGGGATGAGAGTGACTTTTCACTTTACAGGGGGATGTTGATGGTATACAATGAACTAAACACACCTTAGTTTGTTTGGTGGAGGGAAATGTGATAGCCACTGTTCCCAGAGAGCACACGTTGGTTCCCATTTCACACAGAGCTTCAGATGACTTGAGCTGCTGATGTGATCTTGTATACAATATGTGAGGGACTACCTCCTGGGTCTCTTTAAAACCCCCACGTCATCGGATCTGAAGTCACTTCATAGAACTCAAAGTCTCCGTCTAGGTTCCTACTCACCCTCCTCTCCCACTTCTCATACTCTGAAGAAAGAGTAAATGCTTCCGGCTGCTGCAAAATTCCTGGAAGTATCAGTCACTGTCTTTCGGGGGAACCAGGAAGAGCAGGTCTGGTCACATTGCACAGGGCATCTCAAAGCTTACCTGTGCGAAGTGTTGGTTATAAGGGAGCCTACAGCAAACCTGGGGTGCATCTGGGATTGAGGCTGGTGCTAAGGACACTTCTAGAGGGAAAGAGAGGATGAGTCCAACTAAAAGATGAACTGAGGCAGCCACAGGAAATGTGTTAAAAATAGGTCCCGTTCCCAACTCCACAAGTTACCCAGCTGTTCCACCTGAGTGGGTCCCCTGGGGCCACCAGAGCAGCTGCCCCTATTAGGAAAACACTGGGTGCATAATGCAGCAATATCCCTGTCCCTCCCTGCCCTTGGATATCCTCCAGTTAACCTTTACTAATCCATGACAACAGGGAACGCAGAATAGATACTGATTTGGAGAACTGCTGAAGAGTTGGCAGGGAGCCTTGGGATCACCAAACACAAAGCCTTTACTATCCAGATGAGGAAACAGAGGCCAATTAAAAATAATATTCTTCCCAAAGTCATTCAGCTGGATCGAAAACGGAGTCTTTCCTCTACAGCTCCCTTGTTCTGATGTGGAAGTCAGTCGGCCTGGCTAAATCCCAGCTGGTTGCTGTGATCAGGGTAAAGTTACTTAACCTTTCTAGGCACTGGGCCCCCTGTCTGTGAAATGGTAAATAACTATGGCTCCTAGTTCACATGGTTGGTAGGAAGATTAAATGAGATAACTCTTGGTCATGGTTTAGCCAGAATTTGAGCCTTTGATGTATGTTCAATATGGCGTGGCTATGATTATTGCTGTTGCTTCTCTTTCAAAAAAATATTCAACAATTTGGATGCTGCTAATGAACTAGTATTTTGATTTCTGTTCTGAGTAATGGAAAAAGAGAATCGCCCACCTTAAGGCTTTTAAGTGGGTTGATTTATTCCCAGAGGTTAAATACCACTCTTTCCCTTCTCTATCATTGCGCTCCTAACACACAGGAAACGAAGCTGTAGGAGAGTGACAATAAAATAGCCCATTCTGATCCTTCACTCCCTTCATTTGCTCTACAGCCACATCCTTTTCTGCAAAATATATCCTTGACAGGACTGTGGAGAACAGGAGAGGGAAGCTTGGAGGTAGGAAAGGAGGCCAACCGCTTCTTCCTCTGCAATTCTCGTTTTTCTCCTTCTCTTTGCCCCAGCCCTGATCCTAAAACAGGGAGTGCTCTGGACACCATGCAAAGTGAACTCATGAGATCTTTCATCGCGAGTTAGTTAAAGCAGACTGCAAGTAATTGCAACAGGACTTACAGTTCAACATAGCAGTATTCAACACCCGCCCCCAACGCGCAAAATGAAAAAGAACCCCCCCAGGAAACATGTATATAGCCCGCCCTGGCTTATTTACGCTAGTTGAGATGAGCACATAATGTCTGTTTATCGGCTGGCACGAGCAGGTTTGTTTTGCCTGGTCTCTCTGGTAACAGAACAGGCATCTTCTTCCAGGGGAACTTCCAAACCTGGACCTTTTTTCTGGTTCACTCTAGTTGGCATGTAACACATTGAAAACTGTCATCAAGTGGGCATTTTGTACCCAGCCTCTCTGTGCCCCAAGATAACCTTTATGGTCATAAGCAAAGAATAGCCCCAAGGACTACAGCTAACAGCACATAATTGGCCCAGCCCAAACAGTAAAACAAAAAGCTGGGTAAAACAAAAGTTCTTATTAACCTTACCTGAGCTTTTTCATTCCCCCTAGCTGGGTGAACAGAGGAGGGGGCTTGGGATTGAACCCTGGGTGATGACTGGCTGTTGAATCAAAGCAGTTATTTATTTAAATTGACAGGTAATGTTAGGAATCCTCAAATTCTTCTCCCCTAGTTATTCTGAAAAGCATAACTAATTGTTTAAGACTAAGGAGGCCCTACTGTGTAATATGACACCTTAACTACTGCCTTCCTCTAGCTAGGCAAGTAAAGAAAAATAATTTGTATTGTCACTCATTTGTGGAAGTTCAGAAAGGCATATAT